CAGGTACGACAATATATGCCACGATTTTATGGGTTCCACGTAGCACGCGCGCCTGTCATCGAATTGGGCATTGTCCTCTCATTGTGTTTGAACATTACGGGGATTGGCCTGCCACAGGACAGCACAGAACAGGACAGAACAGTTGCGCTAGCGCGTTCGGATCAATTCAATTAGCGGTCAGGCTAACTATAAATCTATCATAATTTGACATTAATTGAATCCTGCATAAAAGATTCAATGACACGAAAAAAAAGAACAGCATCAAAATTTGACTACAACAGAAAACTGTTGGCATAAAATGTTATTAGAACTATAAATTCAACTTAAAAAGCGCTAAACATATTTTTTTGCCTTTCCCATATAAAGACTTACGTCCGAACATATGCATGCCCAAATTTAAGTAACACTTGATGAACATTTGGTTTCTAAGAACTTAAAAACTACTTGGAAAGTTTCTATCTATTCGATCTATGTATCTTTGTATCTATCTATTTATTAATAAACCATAAGATAGCTGAAAGCGCAGGCTCAAATACGTTCACAACAAATTTTGTAAAATAAACAGATATGTGAGAATAGGGAAACTCGTTAATGCTGAGTTTGATATAAAAATCTTGGAAAACAGAATATTTTGCCATACAAGAACATTCTTATGGGACGATCCTGCCTATGGCAGCTATATGAATTATTTGTTGTTAATCAAATTTTGGTTACACGTAAGGAGGATAGTGAAACTTATAAATGTCTATTTTCAGGAAGACAAACCAGATCAGATAGAGTTTGGGCCGAGTTTCGTGACAATTTTTGCTGAAGAGCCTGAACCTGGGATTCCAATCTTTTCTTGAAGGGATTCGAGTTGCAAAGGAGATATATTGCTTACTGAGCAAATAAATCTGTGGGTTCTTTTGACAAAGCATAGTGGAAGGCCTGTTTCAATTAAGTCAATGCAATATTATTCGATTGCGGAACACCTACGGGTATATGTTATCCGATATTCCTGGCATAGACATTGTTTCTTTTATCGTAATCCCATTATCTCATATCTCCCATTGTTTTTATACTGACAACAGTGAGGGGTAAATTTTATTTAAATGATATTTATTTTAGAAAGACAAGAAAAGATCTTTATGCTTCACAGACTGAATAATAGAGTGCAGGTGAACAGTAGATCAGGGCACAAGGTCAGTAATGTGAAATGTAACAATTATTTATAAGTATTTGTGGCAACCTGGTGCAATTATGAATACATTGTGACAAACTTGGTGTCACTTGGTTAGTTGGCTATCGTAAATCATCTACATACGATACGATACGATACGATACGACGAGACATGCTCTACAGAGACGGGTATAACACTTTTAATAATGTGTCGCCGTATTTCTGTGCTCGTATGTGGCATTGTATGGAGATAAGTTCCTCGGTGCCCGCAACGCGTTCGCTATAAATTATAGCAACAGGCTGCGGCTGCGGCAGCTCGGCTGCTGTTGATTTTTATCAACGTCATCAGCTTAATTGCCTCACTGTGCCGCGGCCTGTGCCTGTCCGACATAGTTGGTTATGGGCCGCTTTTGCAATTTTATCTAGAAAATGTTGTGTGGTGCGCGCAGTACTTGCAATTATTAATGAAATATTGCTGTCAGTAATTATTTGTTATAAATTTGCATAGATATTGCAATTTGTACACTTCACTCGCAGTTCCAGCTCAACCCCTTCCCCCTTCCTTCCAGCCTCTCCACCAACAACAGTTTTCTATCTCGCCCCTTGCTTTCTCTCCTCCCGCGCTCCTACACAGTCCGCAGTTTACTTAAGTCAGCGGCATTATTAATGACAATGTAAGAGCATGATAAATATCGTTAACACAGGCGTTTGAGTTAGCTGCTTGTTTATATATATAATATACATATTTATATTTATATAAACAAGCATTTATATACATATAATATTGCTGCCGTTCAATTATTGTGTTCTGTAGCAAAGTCGTTACTGTCGTATACCATTAATTTTGAGCCCGCCTAATTTACTTTAATTTTAAAGATAAAATCTTAAATCTTAAAATCCAATACAATTAAAGCTACTTTAAGAAGCTTGTTTCATAAACAAGTAAGAGGTTCTAGTCGGGAGCCTCCGACTAGGGGATACCCTGAACCCTCTTCTTCCAACATCAAATGCATATATATATATATTCTATTTTAAAAGCTATGTGTCAAGTTTGGTGACTCTTGCTCTTATTATTTACCAAAATTGCCCAAAAAACAGGATATCTATATCGATTTTTATCGATTGCTTGGAAACGGAGTAAGTTATCGATTATCGGCAACAAACTCGATCTGCGCGGGAACTAGGAGCATCTACATCTAATTTCAAGTCTCTAGCTCGTATAGGTTCTGAGATCCTTGCGTTCATACATACGGACGGACGGACAGACAGACGGACATGGCTAAATCGACTCGGTTATTGGTGCTGATCAAGAATATATATACTTTATGGGGTCGGGGATGCTATACCCTTATACCCATTTTTAATGGGTTCAGGGTATAAAAATCGAAAGATACCAGATCTAAAGATACATAAGTTGAGAGTTTGCTATTTATTTATTATTCTTATAACAACAATAAAAATATATTAAATTCTATATTGCAACACATAATTAGATGTTGGACTCATAAATATATCCCGAACCCATTGAAATAATTGGTTCCGTGCACATTTATGCAAAGGAGAAAGTAGAAAGAATTGCCAACGAAATAAATTATATATGTAATGATCAACATCCATAGCCTAGTCGATCTCAGAACCCCTAAGAAATATAGACATGCAATTTCGATTGTATGTAATCGATAAGAGTCGATAACACATCATCATGTCGATAACACGTTACTAAAAACGAGAGTCACCAATTTTGACATTTTGCTTCTCTGTTAGTCTATGCTAATAAAGTATATACATTTTTTTTGGATAGTTCTCACGCATGTTTTTTTGCCAAGATATGAATTCCTTTGATAAAATAAGATCTAGTTTAGAAATTTTCCTCAAGATTGGTTAAGAATCAAAGATGTTTGTAAACAAAGAGTATTGACAGAATTAAAACGGAAATTAAAAATGGTTAAAAAGTATGATGAGTAATGATTTGTGCAAATGTATGTAACAGACAGAAGGTGGCATGTCCATGTCCTATTCCATAAAGTATGTATATTCTTGAAAAAGGCGATGAGCTGTCCGTCTGTCAGTCTATATGAAAATGTTTTAAATATATATTATCGTTTACCAATCGCACAACAGATTTATCAATTTTGACCTTAGCTCGTCACTTTTATAAAATATGTACAATTACCCAATTTAAGACCTGGTTTTTGGAGCATATTTCAAAACCTATCAGATCTAGATACATTAAATTTAGTAAGTAGGGTCTTGTTAAGTGTATTTCGTGGCTCACAAAACCTAAAAGATAAATAAAAGTAACCTTGAAGTCGAGCACACTCGAATATAGTGTTATTAATTATTATTTCAATAATCCCAGTTATTTCCTTTACCCATTGTCCATTAAATGGGTAGAAACGTACTTTCTAGAAGAATTCTTCAGAATGTTTAATAGATAAATGCTAAGCAAGCTTTTAATTCAATAAAGTGCCTAATAAATGTTGAGTATAAGTAACTAAATTAAGAATTGTGTATTCACAATTTATGATTATTATCTGCGAAAAATGCTGTCGTTTCTCAAACCTATGAAAATCCATCTAATTTTGCATTTACAAGCGAAAATTCGCATTTGCATGTCAAGATTTATAATTGAAATTATAAACCCCAAACAAGTTCTATGGCAAATGCAAAAGCGTCGCAAACTAATCTGTTAAAATGATTTAAAATAAATGGCAAAATTTGTAAACAATTTTGCGGTCATTTTGAATGCCCATGCGACGCTCTTATATTGAAATTACAATTTACAAATTAGTCAGGAGCTGCATAATAATAATATACTATAGCTTCATACGGTTAATCTATCAGTTAGATTATTTCCTGATTGTCATGATATTTTGGCAATTTACATAATTGAAATAATGCATATGTGTGACTTTAATCCCACACAAAACACAACTGATTACCTCTTCGTATACACAGATACTTCAAATTCATTTCTAAACTGCAATGCTTGTTAATTAGAGATGGGTGCGAGGCCAGTTCGATCGTGCCAATAACTGTAACCGACTCCGAAATGCTGGATATCCCTAAACAGGACATATGCGAGAGTTAGCATTAGGACGAGGTATCTTCATAATTGTCTTCATGTCGAATACACCATATATATATGACTGTTTGTCCTGAAAGACAGACTGACTGATTGATTGGTGATCAATGCTTAAATTTTAACTCTAGTTAGTGGGGGCTTAGTTAGACGGGGCTTCGGGAAATTCCACCCGCAAGTGTGGAAAATTCGGGAAAAACGTTTGTATGAAACTTTTTTATTTACCATCCAATCAACCTCAAGCTCATTTTTAAAGATCTTTGAGAGCATTTATTTTATACGCAAGGCCATGGTATACTCGCTAGTCTAATAATATTCCTGTAGCAAAAACTAGTTTGAATCTAACATCTCTGGCTTTTATAATCTCTGTCAAGATACTCATCATGAAATACGGACGAGTACAACATGTGCACATGTAACACAAAACGATTGCTCAGTCTACAAAAACTTAAACCAATTTTCTACCTAAATGTAGAGCACAATCCCTGACTAACTGACTGACTGAAAGGTTGATAATCGAGAGCCGGAAAACAAAATTTTTTAATTTTCTGAAAGTCGTAATTGCAAAGAAAAAGCGGCAAACTATTGGAACATTTTTAACCTTTGGTTCGATCTGACTAATATTTCAATATATGTATATCTAAAATGTCATTTTAAGAAAGAAGAAGAAAGAAGTTAGCCTTAAAAACACACATTATTTTTGGAAAATAAATGAGCTTATGTGTAAAAACTATTCTAGCAACATTTTGCAGTTCATGCATTTGGCATGTCGTGACTGAAAAATCCGTCACGCGTCCATCTCTAAAGTGAACACAAGTCCATAATTGGTAACTGACAGCAAACACACACAATATGCTCGAGCACATACGTATGAATGTATGTACATTTGTACATGTTGTACATGGAGGGACTGTTGCGAGCAATGCCGAATGTTGAATACCGAATGCTGACCGCTTTACCCAGGGCTAATCGTCTGAAGTAATTCCCCAGCAAAAACTGCCACTCAACATGCATAATTTAGGTAACAAATGATAACTCGAAGAAATGTGAAACCATGCATAAATTCACATCGCTTACAAGTGCAGGCTGCAACTGCACTCAGGTGAGTAGCCATCAGGAAGGACTTCTAGACTGGCAGACTGGGCAGAATGGCAGGCTTAAGAGTCTGACAGAACGCCAGACAGTTGCAGACGAACTGCCTTTGATTTATTACAGTAGAGTTAGTGGAAGAAGCAGGCGGAAGGTTACTCATCAGCAGCTGCAGTCAGCTTTGGCTTCGACCCATAATTTATTAACCAACAACATGCTGCAGTTGACCAGGGTGGGGGGGGGGCAGAGAACATACCACAATGCTGGCCCCTCAAGGAAAGCTCGTCTATCAGACTGTGAAGAGAGCTGTGCCTCGAAATGAATGGCAGAGGAGGTTGTCAATGCGGTTATAACATAGTGAATTGATGATTCTAGAATTTGGGACTGAGAATTATTGATTAAATGAGTCAAGAGCATGCATTATCCAGATCTATTGTATCTAAATATGAGTCCAGCAATTTATTTCAGCTGGCTTTCGAACATAAATCAGGTTGTTTGAGCTTGGAGCTGACCCAACGTGTGTTTATTTATACAGTATGCCATGCAATTTAATTTATTTCAATGTTTGCATTGCTAAGGCATTGCTATCATTTAATTAGAGCAAATAAAATGCAACGAGCGTGCTAATTAAATGCATTATTAATTTGTAATCAATTAAGTGAGTTACGCACCAACGGACATTGCAGATAGCATGTGTTGGTAATTGCATTTTATTATTGAGCTGGAGCTGGAGCTGGAGTCAAACGATTGCAATAAGTTCTTGATACTCAAGTAGTACCCAGGATTGTCTAACACAACTGTCAATTACACTTGCAGAATGTGTCTGTAAATTATTTTTCTTTATAATATAAAAGTGCAGTTTTAATACAAACATTAGACCAGAAATTAAGATATCAACTAGGTTTCATTGTATTACCATAAATAATTGCTAAACAAGTAAGAGGTTCTAGTCGGGAGCTCCCGACTAGGGGAAACCCTGAACCCTCTTCTTCCAACATCAAATGCATATATATATTCTATTTTAGAAGCTATATGTCAAGTTTGGTGACTCTAGCTCTTAATATTTACCAAAATTGCCCAAAAAACAGGATATCGATATAGATTTTTATCGATTGCTTGGAAACGGAGTAAGTTATCGATTATCGGAAACAAACTCGATCTGCGCGGGAACTAGGAGCATCTTCATCTAAAATTTAAGTCTCTAGCTCTCATAGGTTCTGAGATCCTTGCGTTCATACATACGGACGGACGGACGGACGGACGGACGGACGGACGGACGGACAGACAGATGCTAATCAAGAATATATATACTTTATGGGGTCGGAGATGCTTCCTTCTGCCTGTTACATACATTCGGATTTTGCACAAATACAATATACCCTTGTACCCATTTTTAATGGGTTCAGGGTATAAAAATGATAATTTTGGTAATTCTATAATTCATCTCTCATAATACATACATTATACAAATGACAGTAGAAGTTTTTCCAAAACTGGAATAGAGACCTAGAATATTAGTTAAAAGTTCCACTTGTAACAAGCTGTGTTCCAAGTTTATCATCATTTCTATATGCATTTCGAATATGCATTGATATGATGCTAATAAAAAGGCGAAAGAGGCTGGGCCGCACGACATGCCATGTACATTACTCTTTCTAAATGCTCGACATCGTTTAACATGTTCCTGGAATTTGGTGGGTTCCTTTTATGCCGGCAATGCGCTCCAATGCGGTGGTCACATCGCCATCCACTGTTGCCGCGTTAGTGCGTGGTTTTTAGATATTGTCTGCTCTTCGGGCTGTTCGGTCTGATTTTAGTGTCCCAGGACTGGCTCTGTTGTTGGCACTTATTTGGCGACATTGTCATCGATATAAAACTGGCTTTGTTTGTCCACTGGTCAAGGCATCGGCATCGGCATTGGCATCGGCATCCGTTGCGCATATTTCGAATAGTCCATGCCAGCTCTTTTCTCCTACAGCGGGGTATATATGTGTGTGTATGTGAGTGTCCGATTCTGTGGTCGGTCTGTCTGTGCTTCTGGGCCTGGTGTCTGGTTCTGTGTCTCTGGGCTTTGGCATTATCAACTTGTGTGCATCAGTATTTGGTTTCGCGTGAAATTCACTCACGACTTGTAATTATTTAATTTTATTGTTTGTCTTACGCTACAAAATCAGCAAAAACGACTGCAAAATCGGAGCTTACACTTTCCAGCTGCCTGCCGCAGCAAGATTTCTATATCTGGTCAATTGTATAATGGCCTTAGGAATTGCACTGAGCTGGGGCGTCATAATCTTTAGATGGTTAAGCTTCATTAGGCTTCTACAGATAAAACACAGCCAAGCCAAGCGAACTTGTTATTATGTTTAACAGAGATTTCCTGCGATTAGTCGGGCGTTCATTAATCTCAGACTACAACTCTAATATTAAACAAGTAAGAGGTTCTAGTCGGGAGCTCCCGACTAGGGGATACCTGAACCCTCCTCTTCCAACATCAAATGCATATAAATATTCTACATGCTACATGTCAAGTTTGGTGACTCTAGCTCCTATTATTTACCAAAATTACCCAAAAAACAGGATATCTATATCGATTTTTATCGATTGCTTGGAAACGGAGTAAGTTATCGATTATCGGAAACAAACTCGATCTGCGCAGGCACTAGGAGCACCTACATCTAAAATCAAGTCTCTAGCTCTTATAGGTTCTGAGATCCTTGCATCCATACATATGGACGGATCGACGGACAGGCGGACAGACGGACAGACAGACAGACGGACATGGCTAAACCGAATCGGCTATTGATGCTGATCAAGAATATATATACTTTATGGGGTCGGAGATGCTTCCTTCTGCCTGTTACATGCATTTGGATTTTGCACAAATACAATATACCCTTATACCCATTTTTAATGGGTTCAGGGTATAAAAAAGGCTTCAAAACCTCTTTAGTGTAACCCTCATATTGAGCATTTGTCACTTATCCTTGCAACAACAATTAAATTTCCACCGATATGCTCTTTGTTGTATCTAACGGCCCTTGAGTATTTTGCGCATACATAAATTATTGAAATTCAAATCATTTTCGCACAGATGCAACTAAAAGCTGTCCACAAGCAAAACACAATTGTCTGTCAGCATTTGTAATTTGTATATGCATTCGATGGAACTACAAATAAATTTGGGAATTTTTTCAAAAAACCTGCACACACTACGCATATTTTAGCAATTCCATTTGAATAATTTACTGTAGTCATGGTGAAAAATTGTTGACCTGTGAGAATAATGCTAAATAATTTAAGGCATTCAAATTGCAAAATATTTTCTCTTTTTTAGGGAATGCATCACTGGCATATGCAATTTCTAAAATCCCTTAAAAAAAGAATGAACAAATAGCTTTTGCATGCCGAAGACTAAATACTCTCTATGACTTATGATTATGATTTGCAGATCTTAGATCAATATACATGCAAGGAACATATTGAAATTGGTAACTTTACTCAATATATTAAAAAAATAAAAAAAAAACCTTTTCATACCTTCAACAGACTGGCGAAGTTTGCTGGAGACAAGCTTGTTTAGAAAAAGTGAGACGGAGAGACGGAATATATATGCTCAATGGGATTGGAGAAATCTGCTTCGACACGTTAAAAATGTTAACACAAAATTGTAATGTCTCCTACAAGAGGTTATTGAAGATTTTTGAACTTTCCAAAGTTAGTTCTATGATTTTCGACAAACTTTGATATTTGTTTTCGAAGAAGACCAAATCTTGTGGTACTTGAAATAAAACTCGTGTATTTCTTAAACGTTTTATTATAGGCTGTTAGCACAAATGTCAAAATTAATTACTTGTGTCACTAGCAACAAATCATAAAACATAACATTTTAACATTATTTATAGCGCAACACAATCAAAATGGTCCCCAGTTTCTTTGATCTGCGGCGACGTGTGGCCTTTTTTTTTTGCGCTGCGCTGTCAAAAAGGGGTAACCGAAATTTATGTGACACAAAAATTTGGCCATCAAAACATCAGTCAGAAAATGATTTGATTGTGTGCGGAGGTTAAGACTCTTAATGTCTGTGGACTGCCCAATTTGTTTGAGTAAAAAATAATGAAAACGTCTTTTCCAGACATTATATGAGTGCTAGCATTTTTGTAGTCAAATATATACTTATATATATATAGAGAGATTTTCATTTGTTATTAATATAAACTTTGTCATATGCGTGTCTCTCTATGTATATAAATTCATAGCTGACAAATTGTTGGCACAGCTGTTTGTGTTTCAAATAAGCAGGCGGATTTTACTTAATGGCCCCCAACGGTTTCACTTAAGTTGTTTATGGCTTTTGTGTGTGGGCATAGAAATTCCAACCTGATCTCTCCCCACGTATACCTCGCTCAAATTTATTTATATATAAGAATATATACATATGTATATTACGAACAACATTTCATAAATTGCAAAATATTTCTTAAGATAGATTTAAACATTTAAAATAGTTCCTTAGGGAATCGTAAATAATCCCTCCATAATCCGCAACAAACTATTTGGCAATAAAATATTGTCAAATCAAAATGTTACTCAGTTTTAAGGTAGACTACTTTTGAATTTGGATGGATATCCATTAAACAAAAAGTCAGTTAAATATTTCATAAAGTAGATTTCATAAAACATTATAGGCCCTCTATTCGTTCGAGTACTTACGGTAAATAAGAGCAGCTTCTGTAGCCATTCAATGTTTTGAGGATTTTGAAAAGTATTTTGACTTGACATGAACTCATATCTTAAGAAAATAATGCCACAATATTCATAAATCAAGAACACTTCATCAACTAATAATCCGCAGGGTTAAATATGTGAATGCATTGAGGCTAATTTGAATTTTGTTTTGTTTTTTGTTAAGAATAGGAAATTCTATTCGCTTAGCTCATAAATAAGGCACATCTCCTACTTAGCATTTATGTTTAAATTTAGGCAGAGTGAAGTAATGTGTACAAAAACACATATTTGAAAAACAAATAAATAAGAATCTTAAGAATCTTTTCAACAACGCCATCGCCGTTGTTCCTCATACCACGAGTAAAAGTATTTTCAAATTAATTTTTATTAGCGGGCGGCTAATACACAAGCCCGAAAATACTCACACAAAACCTCTAGATTCATGTGTTTCGAGCAAGCATAAATCAAGTCAACAGTAAAATAATCTATTTATATATACATATACGTACATATATATTTTTATTAGCATGTCGCGACATTTTTCGTAGAAAATAATTTGGCCACTATTTACCCATTTCACTCTTGAATCTGAATTTTTATTCGTGTGTCTTTCAATTTAATTTATTAATCGAGCGTGAATATTGTTGTGGGTGGGTGGGAAACGGCAAATGTGTCCGTTGGGGAATTTTGAAATTAACATTTTTCTTGATTGCTCAATGAGCACACAAATTGAGGTGTGGGCAGGCCGTGAATTGGACGACTTCTGAGAGTGGCCATTAACCATGCCAGCTAATGAGAAATGCAAACAAATGACAAACAGTGCCGGATTCTTAAGTGAACTGTTTAATAGGGGCGCAAATTGATCTGAGATCTTTTCCAACAACAGTATTTTCTATAAGTAATATGCTATTACGACTGTGTTACTTGGTCTTGTTTAAACTAATTATCAACAAAAAATATACAAAACACTAGCTGGTAGTTCCCACTTTTGATCTGTCCAAGTTCTTCCATCAAAACTTAAACGAAAACTATCCACCCATTTTCCATAGATTTCGCCCATTTTGAACATAAGAAAATAAACATTCGCTTAACATTCTTTTGATTGTATATAATTAATTTTAACAAAGATCTTTAAAAATTAGTAGAGGCGGATCGGATGGTGAACTAAAATTTTCATAATTTCCAAAATGGCTGAAACACACATTTAGCCCGAAACCACCGACCAAATTTTCCACACCAATTTGCTTCAAGGACGCTGGACTTCTGGGAAAAATAAATGTTTCTAACAAACGCCATTGCAATTTTGCCACAATTGCGGATTGAATTTCCCAGAAAGCAGCCTTACCGTGCAACGCTAAATCATAAGCTAACGAAAGTGTAGTAGCTAATACTTCGGAAATTGGAATTGGATGCAAAATGCGGATCAAAGTTTTAATGAACAACTCATTTTTATACCCTGAATCCATTGAAAATGGTTAAAAAGGGTATTATGTATTTGTGCAAATGTATGTAACAGGCAGAAGGAAGCATCTCCGACCCCATAAAGTATTTATATTCCTGATCAGCATCAATAGCCGATTCGATTTAGCCATGCCCGTCTGTCTGTCTGTCCATCTGTCCGCCTGTCCGTCGATCCGTCTGTATGTATGAACGCAAGGATCTCAGAACCTATAAGAGCTAGAGACTAGCGATTTTAGATGTAGGTCCTCATAGTGCCTGCCCAGATCGAGTTTGTTTCCGATAATCGATAACTTACTCCGCTTCCAAGCAATCGATAAAAATCGATATCGATATCCTGTTTTTTGGGCATATTGGGTAAATAATAAGAGCTAGAGTCACCAAAAGTTATATGTTTACTCTAGAATAGTATATAAATATCAAATGTCTTTCATTTAATACCTATCGCCAACTTCCCGCTACTACCCCAGAGCTATAAATCAAGTTAATAACCCAACTTGTATTGTCCACCAATTTAAACTACAATTTTAATGAAATTAACTTTTTGAGAATACACAAATATTCTATGGTACAATAAGATATACTGTACAAAATTTTAGCTTTAAATTCTCACCACAACACTAACACTAAAAACGTTTGGTTCTTTATTCGATGGACTTAACACAGTTCAAGATAGTAGTTTTTTTCAAGATTTAAGTTTTTCACGGATGGAAACTGGATGAATCTGATATTTGTTAATTGAAGCATAAAAGTTGACATGGGCAAAACCGGGAAATGCCCGCTAGCTTATAAATATATGTCAAGCATTGCGCATAAATCTGTTTGACAGCTGGCTGCTGGCGTTTTCGAATAATAAAAGTTAAGGTTTCCAGAATACACTATATATTACAAACTTAAAATACCTTCAAAAGCACTGCCGCAAATTGGAAAATTTATATACAAAAAAGTTCTTGCATTGCGATAATAAATAACAAACCTTTTACGATAACAAAGGACTCATGAAATATTATCAAACTAGTTTAAACGAACTTTAGACTTAATAAAACAAACAAACTTAGATTTATCTTAAAAGTTGCAGTCTCAAAAATTATTCTGATACAAGTTTTGGGAATGATTTTTTAAATACTTCGTTTTCATTTTTCTACAAGGTTTCCAAGACAAAGCTCGTCAATCAGTTTGCCGCACTCTGACTGTCTGTCAATAATACGATTGATTGATTTATGTATGCCATTTAGCTTTGATTTGTGTTTGCGCAAAGCCATATACGACTGTATGGCGATGGGATGAACAGAAATTCCCAAAATATGATAGAAAAAGGGTGAGAGGGTTGGCAGCTAAAGGGAGATGTGACAATTGCACAAGCATTTGCATACAACTTCCGCTTTGTCTGCTTCCGTAACAACAAAGCTGGTTTAGGACTAAACAATTTGTGCATTGTATAATAAATAAGAAATGGGGCTGCTGGCTGTTGCATAAGGAATTGTAAATACTCTAAAAGTAATAAACGTAGAAAAGCAATAAAGCAAGAGTGCTTTTGTCGTGAGTGACCAACTAAGAGATACCCTAAAAAAACAATTTCGTTCGTTCTCTTCAAACACTGCTTGCTGCTCAAATATGCGAAATGTTTTCTTGAATAGTTCGGTGAATATTGTCCGATCGCAATGAAATTTCCAACAAGAAAAAGCCCAATACAATATAAACAAAAGGATATTTCAAATAGTGAAAAAATGTTCTGAAAATATGTGTACCATACGAAAAGTCCACATACCAAAAAAATTGTCTCTATAAGCTTTGATATATTTTCAAAAATTTGGATTTTGCTAATGGTTTTCAAAAATTTCATGGAAACGGGGCTAGTTATCGATGATTTAATAACAAACTTGAGCATGAAGTCTCTTAAAGCCTCTGAGGACGACGTTCAGGGTATAAAAGTGAGAGCATGTTATCCTATTACAAATTTAACATATTGCTCGTTTATTAAACATGTATATATAATTTGTTGATACATATTTTGAGTTATTATATTGCAAGTCAATGGAGGTAACACCGTTTAGTTTTATCACTAAAACAGACAGTTTTGCACATTTTTTGAACGCTTCTCAAAAAGATTCTTTGGCATCTAAAAAGATGCATTTACTAGTCGACGTATGCTTATTTTTCAAGTGTATTAATATTATTTATGACAAAACACGGAATATGATATTCAGCTATGGCTTTTGGCTTGGCACTTAATCATAATCAACTGTCGCGTAACTGGAAGTTACTAGCACAGCCATTGGGCCTCACCTATCCGCCAGACTAGCTACCCAAGTTGGCTCCACGGGCCTCTGTTAACTGTTATTGCCATTGAGTGCAGCCCGCCGTCTGCTCTGGGGCTCCCATGAGCTTAAGAGCGTGCCCAAAAAAAAAAAACAAAAAAAATTTGTTTGAGAAATAAACTGTGTGCATAAATCAAAAATGTTGACGCTATGATTACGATACATTTCGGGCCTCTTTTGGACCAAGGCAACGGCAGCAGCAATGGGAAATCGTGTTCGGAGGTGTTTCGGCACTGACAGGT